GGTTTGTCTATGTGTCAAGCAGGGAAGTTCAAGTGTCTTGGCGTCCTGTACACAAGTGATGGTAGGATGGAGCGGGACGTAAGTGGATCGATGGGACCACTTCTGCTCTAATGTCACTGCACTCTAGCATTGTGTTTCATTCATTCTGGTATATAGTCATTTACAGATCATGTTGTGTTTTTTTAATCCAACAGTGTGTCAAAGAACACAATCTGTTTGCTAACGAAAAGTGGGAGTTTTCAGGACTCATCCATATAATGAATCTGAATTAAATAACTTGTTTCAGCTGCTTGAACTGTAGATTGTCATTTAAAAAGTCTAAGTTAGATCATAGACCAATTAAAAAATACATCACCAGGATTTCTTATAACCTATATTTATTTATTAGAATAAGATCAGAAAATCTGCTGGAGCAGTGTTAACTCAATGATTTCTTACAAGCTTACTGTTGGGAGTCTTGTGCTATCCTTTACCTTCCCTTGGTTGTATTACATGTTACTGTTTTGTTAATTACAGACTACACTAAATCATGTTAAACTACTCAACAGGAGATGAGTAAACGCACAAGTTGAGAAACTTTGGGGAGCCTGTTAAATTTTGCTGGTTAAACGGTGATGCTATCCAAGTATCATGCTGGTTTCATCATTCTAAAACAATTGCAGCTACTGCCCACCCACACATGGCTCAAGTATTCAAAAGATAGGATTTCACGCCATGCACAGACCGTTTAGCCTTTTTTTCTGATGCAGTTTAAAGAGAGTATTATAACTCATGTATGTTCATCTGTGGTTTTTATCTGAGCCACTAAACCTAGAAGAGACAGTAAACTAGCAAAGCTTCTTAAAGTCTTTTATTTTACTCATCTCGACATCAATATGCATGACACTTTATCATGTTACCATGTTAACCTTAATAACCTCCATAATGTATCCCTCTTCGATAACATACATGAACAACCATACCTTCCTGCTTCAAACAAAGCTGCCCCCCTGTGAGCCGATACATCACTGTAAGTACACGGTGCATTTGATCTTGAGTGTGAAGGGGTAATTACTGAGGCCTGATGCTACCATCACCATGATGAAAGACAGAGAGGAATTGTGTTGTTATAAGAAGATGAAAAAGCCCATTGAAGGTTAACCCCGTCACAGACCTGCATAGTAGGTAAGATCAGCAGAAAAATGGATAACTCAATCATATAAAGAGAGTAAGGAGGCAGAACTGTAACTAAAGGACAGCTGTCTGGAGCTAAACCTTACTTTAATCAAGCTTGAAAATATTTCTGTCCTGACATCACAGTGTTTTTTTTTTCTGTCTAGCAGCTTTGATCTATTGTTGTGGATTCACTGAGAGCCTGGCACCCTGAATGGGCTCTGGTTCACAGAAAAATAACTAGTCTGGCTTCACCAAATATAGGAGGTTTGGTGACCACTTTTTGCTAAGAGCATTAGAGCCTGTGGCTACTGGTTAGCCTAAGGGAGAATTGAAACCATGCAGCCTTTTTTTTAAGTGCTTTAGTTTTAAGCTAAACACAATTATATTAAGAGGTTAAGTTATTTTGGTGGAAAAAGAAATCTAGGTGGCCTAAATAGTGATTTGTTATCAAGAAGATTTTAATTTGTTTTAGCAAAAGGAAAAAAAAACTTAGATCATACAAATTTGGGAAGAAAAAAAGGTATTTTATGGAACCTTTACATAATTGAGTGGAGTATAATTTCTCTAGGTTGAAGTTAAGCATAAAGGAAGGAAGGAAGGAAGGAAGGAAGGAAGGAAGGAAGGAAGGAAGGAAGGAAGGAAGGAAGGAAGGAAGGAAGGAAGGAAGGAAGGAAGGAAGGAAGGAAGGAAGGAAGGAAGGAAGGAAGGAAGGAAGGAAGGAAGGAAACAACAACAAATGAAGGAAACAACAACAAAGGAAGGAAACAACAACAAAGGAAGGAAACAACGAATGAATGAACCAACAAAGGAAGGAACCAACGAAGGAAGGAAGGAAGGAACCAACGACGGAAGTACCCAAGAAAGGAAGAAACCAATAAAGGAAGGAACCAACAAAGGAAAGAACCAACGAAGAGAGGAACCAACGACTGAAGGAACCAGCGACTGAAGGAACCAACAAAAAAAAAAACAGCGAAGAAAGAAACCAAGGAAGGAAGGAAGGAAGGAACACAAACACCCCTCATCAGTCAGCCTGCTCTCCTTGGAGGAGAGTGTTCTTTTTGTATAACATATCCCAATGTTTGCCTCTGAAAATGTTTTAATACATCAGGGTGAGCTTCACCTGCTTCCACATTGTCATGTAAAACACTGCATGGTTCATGTTCTTAAAAGCCTCCTCAAACTAAGGCTGGAAAATGTGGCCAAAACTTATATCAAGATATATTTCTTAGCTTCAATTGATTTAATTGATATCAATATAAAGAAAAATAAAACCCTGAGAAACACTGCCAAAAATGAGCACAGCAGAGGCCTGAACAAACTTATGACAATTATTTTGCCATAGCTGTGCAACTCTTACATTGAAATATTAGAAATGTCATGTCACCATTATTGAATTATATAGCAAAAAATAAATAAATAAATATATATATATATATATATATATATATATATATATATATATATATATATATATATATTGATATTGAAATATTTTTTATAATTCCTACCCCTGAAATACTGAACTTTATATTTTGAACTGATTTTGATACGAATGTTTTTTGAAAAGCCCAGCAAGACCTGAACCCGAATGAGTTAGAATATTTTTAGAGGGAGCTCTAAAGGGAGGGAGGTGATGGCAAGATGGCCTTTTTAACCTTAAAGGGATAGTTCGGTATTTTTGACATGAATCTGTATGGCATCCCCATCACCAGTGTCATGCAATCACACTGACTTACCCCTGGCAGCGTCCTGTGAGCAGAGTTCTCGTCCAGTTTTGGTCAAGCCGAAAGTAGTCCGGCAGGTTTGCTAGACCCAGCGAAATAAAACGTTTCTCTTCCCAAAACATTATGTGTTCAAAAGAGTGATATTTTTGCATCCCAAAAACGTTGTAGTGGAAAAAGTCACACGTCATTATCACTTTCCGTAAAAATTCAAAAAATATCCACTGGACTTGGAAATCTTGAAAACCAAGTCCAGTGGATATTTTTTGAATTTTTACCGAATGACTATGACCTGGATGACTGAGAACCTTCATCAGTCATTATCACTTGGTCCTATTTTCTCTCTGTTCGTATCAGTGCGCGCCGTCATTCAGACAGCGAGCTCAACAACAGCCAGATGCATGTCTCCCTCCGCCTAGCTCCTAGCTGGGCGGAGGGAGACATGCATCTGGCTGTTGTCAGGTTAGTAGGCCCTAGCTGTCTGAATGACGGCGCGCACTGATACAAACAGAGAGAAAATAGGACCAAGTGATAACGACGTGTGACTTTTTCTACTACAAAGTTTTTGGGATGCAAAAATATCACTCTTTTGAACACATAATGTTTTGGGAAGAGAAACGTTTTATTTCGCTGGGTCTAGCAAACCTGCCGGACTACTTTTGGCTTGACCAAAACTGGACGAGAACTCTGCTCACAGGACGCTGCCAGGGGTAAGTCAGTGTGATTGCATGACACTGGTGATGGGGATGCCATACAGATTCATGTCAAAAATACCGAACTATCCCTTTAAGGACTTGTAGCTCATCACCAAAAGACAAGTGATCTCTAAATAGTAGTGAAAGACCCTTTTACCTGAGTACTGTTTCTAATTTCAGTTCTACACTCCTGAAATCACTATAATTAGGAACTTCAGTACTGGCTGCATTTTCAAATAGAAATTTGTTTGTTTGTGCCTCACAGATGGTAACTTTGCAGATTGATGATCAGAGTTTAAATGAGATTCCACATTTTGTCACATATGGTATAGAAAACCTGACCGTTTGGATGTCAATGCATGGAGGGCAAGATATGTGCAAAAACGACCAAATAAAGAAAAACCCTGACGTTCTGATCTGTGGACCTAGCATGTAATGACAAGATAAGTTTTCGTGTTGTGTGGCGGTGGACTCAAAGGTGTCATTGCCTTAAGACAGCCAATTATTTGTACACTCTGTTGAAGTAATCATCTCATATTTCCCTGATGATCTCACATCCCGCTGAACTGTTACATGTGCCACTTGTCTTCAATTTCGACATTACAGACATGCCATGTGAGATGAGTCACAGCAAATAAAAGGATCACGTGTCTCCAAGGGGGGGATTCATCTTAATTACAATATGCTTTTGCCTTTCACTTTTTAATAATGGAATATGACTCGCATCTAATTGGCATCTTAATGAAAAAAATGTGTTTGATGTGAAGGAAGAAGCATATTTTGCCTGGATAATTGACTTCAGTTATTAGTCTAATTGTAATATTCGTTTACAATTTAGACACTTTGGATTAATCTGTTCAATACTTTTCTTGTTTAAACAGTGTGTGTCCTTTTACACTACAGTACATAAGCATTCCAAGTCGGAAGCCTAAGATTTACATCTGTTTTTTTCTGCTGCTTCCATATTCAGGGGTTGCAACAGCAACTCAATAAGACTAACTCACACACCTGGCAAGGTTTTACCCTTATTGACACATCTGGGATTCGAACCCAGGTCCCTGCATTTAAGCCAGAAACTTAAACCACGGGAATGCCTGTGGCTTACAGTTATGGTATCTTTAAATCCTTATAATTCATCACTCTTGAAAGGGTAAAATATGAAGTATTTAAACCTTGGTTTCTTCAAGTGCTCCCCAATTTATGTCCCCCAGTGCTGACTTGATGTTGCCCTCTTCATGCTGCAGACAGGATTGAAGCTTTTCTCATTAAAGGCCTTTTCCTGCTAGATGGAAATACTAATCACTTTGAATAACCTTATGCATTTTTCAGTGAGCGCTAAAAGCCTTTTAGAGAACTTTCCTATCCACAGCATCTTTCTTACCACTCTCTCCTCTCCTGACCTACACTTCACCTCCTTTTTTTCTTTCAGCGGGGGAATGACTGTCAAGCTGCTCCAGCTATAGTCTATACAGCTATAGCCTGAACAGGCCAGACGGCAGCAGGATGAGTTCAGAGGAGCGCAGCTCAGCCATGTCACAGAAGATCTCCTCCTTATCGAGGAGCAACAGCAGCTCCTCATCCAAGCATGACAGCAGACAGGTAAAAATTCATAGCAGTTTTTTTTTTTGGCAGGAAAAGGAAAATGTTTAATTATTTTCCCAGCTAGTAATTTGTGTGACTAATTAAATAAAAACTTGATATTACTCTTTGACTCAGCATCTCCTCAATAAGTTGATTAAAAACCTCTTTATTTTTTAACCTAGCTAAAATGGTTTTGCAACAAATTCCATCCAAGGTCAGTTTTGCTTGATGTAATGAACAAGCAGAATACAGAATACAGTAAGTGTCCATCTTGCCACATCAACCCCGATCAATAAAATTTATCTTTAAAGCCTAAAGAATAAGAAGTTTACACATGCCACTACACCTAATCGAAGGCCAGGAACTCAGTGCATGAGGCAGCTATATCCAGTTGAAGACAACTCATGGACATAAGTTAAGAATCAGAGTAGGGATATAGTATGCTTGTTGTTGTTGCAAGGCAGTTTTTAGAAACTGGTTTGCAAGGAGTGGGCACAAAAAGAGCCCACTTTTTTAAATCTTAAAGTTTTTGATCTGTGCCTTACACGCCCTTCTACAGTTGGCTGCATGGAGGAGCCCACAATGCTTATCAGCAACATTCTGTGTGGAGTCAAGCATATCAACCTTAGGTTTAGTTAGGGGTCCTGAAAGGATAGTGTTAGCTTACTGAATCCATCAATGCTTCATAACAGTGTTTTGCAAGCAGCTATTCTGAGCTGCAGAGCCTGTTGGCTAGCTGCCAGAAGGTGCATTTCTGCATTAATTTTCTTCCTGTGTGTTTAAGAAAGGTCCAAGATTAAGTAAACAAGGGAGTAGTTGTGTGACGTTGTTTTGGTCATTTCTAACACCTTACAGTTTGGAAAACTACATGAGGTAACGGACAGTTAGCTCAGCCAATCACAAATAAAAGCCATTTCATATTTCCTTTGAAAAAAAAACTTTTAGCAACACTATTTATTTTTATGTCTGGATGGATCATTCCATTGTACCGTCGCAGTTTGTGGTATATTCAAGTATAGGTTTACTGTTGGGCTGCCCAGCAATGCGGGATTTGTTTCCAATTTGGAAAGCCTGGGGAATATTACATTGGCTTAAAGTGTAGTCCTTACCATAATCATCAGATCAAGCTAAAAAGTAGCCTAAAATAATGGAAGTAACAAACTTCATGAATATGAAGGTGCTCTTTTTCCAAAGACAAAGATATCGCTTTGTGTCTATCTGTGGTAAAATGCGTGTATATTTTTTCGATTAGCCTCAATCTGTATTTAGAAAGAAATGTTTGGATTTTATTTGATCATGACATTGTTAAACATTTTTTTTTTGTTTGTTTGTTTTTGGCGAACATTTAGTTTCAGCCAACTGTTTTTTTCTTTCCTTTTATTTTTATAAATTACTAACTGTAATAGAAACTTCTGTAAGAAAAAAAAGCGCTTAAAAAAAGACCCTAGATGGAAACCATTGCTTTGCCAATGGTTTACGTTCAGGGCATCTGGTAGGATGACTCAACTGACCTTGATGAGCAACATTTTGGAAGATAAAACAATGAACTTGCCTGCTGCAACATTTGGAATGATCTAAATGTTAGAAGCTATTCATCCAAGTTTGTGCCTTATTATCATATAATCATTTTTTTTTATTCACACGAGCAAATAAGACCCTTTCTCTTCTGCTCTCCCAGCACCTTATAGTGATAATACATGCCATTTATACGCTGTGTTGTTGAAATTTGTTGCTGCCTTTGGGACATGAAAGATAAATCCAGTCTGCTCTTCCAAGTTCTCCATGGCGAATAACAAAAAACAAAACACTTATTTAAATATGGCAGTCCGCAGCTGGTTCTTATCCTTATCTTATTTCTTATATCTTATTTGTACTTGCAATCTTATTTTTCTGTCTTTTGTAAACAGTTGTAGTGCAAGATTTTCCACGAGGGATTAATAAAGTGATTCTGATTTGCAGCTGTTATGCACATAGTCTTAGTAGATGACTTACAACACCCATTAATTTTATGTGCAGTTTTTTAGTTTGCACACACAATTAAGCACCCATTAGTTCGGGCCTTTAGAGCATTGGACAAAATATTAATATCGTTTGCAGCAAGCCTTTATGAGGAGCCAACAGACATATTATCTTTTAACTAAAACTACTCTGGAACAAGTTTTCCTTTTAGTAGATATAGGTTATTAAGTATCACTCAAGCATTACCCACCAGATAAACTGTAGATTGATCATTACATAGAAACAGCAAATACAGAAACTAAGAGGGCATTTCCAATCAACAGAAAACCACAAAAACAGCACGAACAATTATTCTGCATATCCTGCAAAGTTAAACTTGAATTTCAAGCCCTGATATCTTCAATTGAAAAAAGGCGCATTATTTTATTTTATGAAAGGAGATGTCACATCCAAATTTAGCAGTCTTTATTTTAACTTGGGGAGAAATTTTATTTTGAAGCAAAATCAGGGAAAATAATTTGAATTTTTGTTAGGAAAGCGGAATAAATCCATTGTGATTTTTGATAGAAGAGATGCACTGATTCAGAATTGCTTTCAAGGGTGAACAGTGCAGGTGTGAACAGCCTGGAAAGGCAGGAAGTTAAAGGATAAAAAAAGGAGGATTACTGGGAAACCTGCCATCCGAAACATAAAATGTTGGATTAGGCACAACAACAGGTGGTTGGATCTCTACCCTGGCACCGAGGATTTGGAGAAGCAGCTAAGACTACTGATGATAAGAGTCAGCCTGAGTGTCTGGCAGCACTGCACTTGATCTACCTCCAGTAATCAACACAAAACATACAAAGATAAAGAGCCACAGCGGCTCTCTGGCTTTGAAAGTAATGATATTTAACAGAGAGCAGAGGATGTAAAAATGTGTTCAGTGTTTTATTTAATCAACCACTAAAACCTGGATCATTTGGTCTTAAAAGACAAGGCTTAGTCTGTTATGACAAACAATAAATAAGCCAGCTATTATAATTGAAGATTTACGTACACTAAGTGGTATTCCTGAGGACCGCCTTGTTCTCTAGGACCCACATTACTGCTTCTTTCCGAGACGTTCTCTTGACCTTGAAGTGTCCAGGCACCGTGTGACAATAATGACTCACAGCATGACTTTATCAGAGGAGGGGCCCGTGCCAAAGTGAGACTCACAGAGCCGTCCACAAGCTTTGTCCTTGTCTTTCCTCCATCCCATTTTTTTTAGATGTTCTCACCTTCAGTGTTCTCCCTCCCTGACTAATACTGTTACTTTAACTGGGATGGGAATGCACTGAGATAACAATGTGAAGGTCACCTCAGACTGCTGCCAAAAACTAAAAGCCTTTCCGAACAGCTCTGAAGCAACCAGCACCTTTGAAGGTTTGAAGCTTAAAGAGGTTAATTCCAAAAAATAAAAACAATCCACTGGACTTGGTTTCCAAGTTTCAAGACGTTTCGTTTCCCATCCAGGGAGCTTTTTTAATTAAAAATGTCATGAATAACGTTGAGTTTGAGGTTTTATACAGTAGCCCAACAAAGCCTTGTTTTTGTATTGAAAATGATTTCATCTTCTCTGCAGTACATCTACACCTTATGGACAAAGGATATTCTTTTGAGGACCAGAATGTTCACATTCTGGATAAAGAAAATAGATGGTTTGAGAGGAGTCTGATGGTAGCCATCTATGTTAAGAAAGAAAACCCAACCTTAAACAGGTTCCAGCTTTCAAAAACTTAAAATGCAAATATTGAGTTAATCCCTTCCCATTATCATCACATATATCATTACCCACCCCCTGTACATGACATTGGAGGACCTTGTCTATTCAGCCAAATCTAACAATCCCTTTTAACAACCGACCTTTAAGACACTTAGGGCCGGATCTATCAAAGGTTTGCGTGTATAAAAACGTGAGCTATTTCACTACGCACGCTAAAAAATGTACAAACTGATCTATCAACAGCGTGCTAAAAGGATTTGGTCTTTAAAACGTGCTAAATAGCGCCTCTTATCCATTTAGTACTTTTTCTGCAATGAATATGCAATATGGGCGTTTAACACGTTTCAAAAGAAGGTGCAAATGGTCTGTATGCGTAATTGCGCACACATGGCAGCGGTTATTGTCGCAAGGAGACATCGAAATGAAGCAAGGAGACACAGAGAACCCATTTTTTCACTCCGTGTGAATATTTTTGGAATGAACGAGGAAACGATCAACAAAACATGTCGTTTATCCAGCATTGCCATTTTGGAGCTGTTGGGGGAACTCCGAACGGATTTGGAGCCAGCCACAAGGAGAACCCACGCAATACCAGATATCACAAAACTCCTTGCAACGTTGCACTTTTTTGCATCTGGGTCATTCCAGCGTACGGTTGCAGCGAGAGCAGGGATCTCCCAATCTCGTTTTTCAGAAGTGCTGTCCAACGGGGTTGGGGTTCTCCCCCTGCGCCTGTGGAGCAACATGCCAATGCTGCGGGGATGCGTGATCTCATCCACAGTCACTTCTTGTGAGCCATTTGGTATGTGCATTTTTCTACAGGCCAATACAAAACACCTGGTTTTTGTTATTGTTGTTTTTTACTGCAGTGAAGTAGAAATTCAGCCGCATACCACCTTAGGGAATAAAGGTTGCCAAAGCTTTTTCTTTATATATCACTGTAAGATTTAAATTTCTTAATGCACTAGTTTGCAGAAACTACAAACTACTTTGCCGCAAACCACAAAACGCGCAAAACCATCATTTAAATAGGGCGTCTCCAACAGTTTTGCACCTGCCACCAGTTACGCAATCGCTCTTGTTAAATCACCCGCAAACCATGGTTCAGCCCCTCGCGCAAAATTCCAGTTTGCGAGCGCAAATTACTGCACGCAAAATTGGATCTTGATAAATCCGGCCCTTAGTTGGGTGCGGGGTATTGCACTCAACAGAAGAAGCCAAACAATCCCCATTCCAAATGGGCGGACCTCTTCGTCTGTTCCAATTTGCATGTTTTCAAAACCACGAATTCTACGCTATTACTGACATTTTG